TGTTGAAAATTATATGTAATAATTATTTGGTTAAATCTTACCTTGAGTTGAACACAAAAATGCATGTTTTATCTCAAAAATTTACAACACAAATACAAATCTAATAACTATTGATTTAAATTTTTGGCTGAGAATTTCTGGATGACACTTCTTTCTGAATGATTTTACTGGATAATACTTTCTCCTTTACAGACGAGGTGTCCTTCCTTCCGCCATTCTTTCCGTTTAAAAATCGATCGTGAGAAATATCGATTACATTCGAGAATCGTAGGAAGTGTATTGCGTATTTCACCGTGTAGTGGCGCTGTAATCTTTAATTTAAACCCAATGCGCGCGCACTTCGCACAAAATGTTAACGTACAATAAAAAATAAAAAACTCTGATCAAAATTAAATATACAAAAATATACAAAAATGTTAAATACAACATGAGACATTCTTAAAAAAGAACGAAAATATTCATACACTAGTTAAAAAATTGACAATTAAACATTTAACATTGTAACATATTCATGAAAGTGTAAACTTTGCGATAGAAATGTAAAAATTATTAAATTATTGATTAATATAATAAAAAAACTGTTTTTAGAAATATTAAAAAAAATTGTCAGTTGTTCCGGATCACCGACGACCGAAACATTAGATTAACCTTAAGCGGTAGGTCATTATCAATTCAACTTTCGATGTGTACACAATGATTAAATTTTAGAAGTTTGGAAAAAAAGTTGTCAACTGTACCTGATCACTGACGACCGAAATATTATATAACTTTGAGTAGTACACTCGGGCACTCATTACCAATTGAACTTCCGTCGTGTACACATCGGCCCAGCAGAGCACCGAGGACATCGTGGGATGCGTGAGACTTAATTTTAAGTTGCGTGCGTTTAGTTTTAGTTAATCTCTGTAAATTCAATGTAAGCACATTCTATAGAATCATATTGCTATAATATATGCGAAACAATTTTTATTTTTTCTTTAAATATATAAAATATTTTAAATATTATAACTTAATTATAATTATTTTCAATTTGAATTTTGATTTGTATTTTAATATATTGCGCTTTGGTTTACTTACTTTGCACAATGATAAGAATTTGTGAACATTTTGCAATAGCATATCAAAAGAAATTTCTTTTTTTTTTATTGAATAAATTTGTTTTGAAGTAAAAGAAGGATGGATAGGATAAAAATGGGTCTCGATACGTAACAATGTAGTGAAACCAGGGCAATCATTGTTATTTGTGATACAATTACTAATTGCATTGAATTATGCAACTAAATTCTATAACATGATCTAATCGGCTGCGGTCACGATTTAGTTTTGATGTAATTAAAAGATTTGTTGAGTTGTTAGGGAGATCGTTTCTAAAATTATAGATTGAATTTTTTTATGACAACGTATAGTGCATTTGTAAATATTGTCGAAGACCGTAGACTTTAGATTTTTATGGATATTTCAAAACGTATGATTTGATAAAATGATAGATCTTTTCTATGTCTCCTTTTTAAATATTAAATATCAGGTCCATTCTAAATATTCTAAATATTTCCCTAAGTATATTTCAATAAATAAAACATCCCGTTATAAGTAATAA